GACATCAGAGCGGATCTCTTACTGGCTCAAACTCACACGTACCGATTTCAATGGTATATGATGATCATTTTTTTTTTCTCTTCTTTTAATTTGTGCCGCCCTGTTTGTTGTCGGACTTGTCATTGTCCATCACTACTAAAGTTTCATTTTTTTTTTGAAACAAGCAATTCGATATCATCATAGGATACCTTTTTGCCTTCGACCTCGATCAATCTACGTGTCTTCCTTCTTTTCTTCTTCTTCAATCATATAAGCAGCTTAATGTAAGAAAAAAAAACATACATATATATTCTGTAGACCTCCATCCAGTTCCTCTTTATATTGACTTGATTATTCCGCTATGAATATCGATACTAATAAAGTCATACTAACAAATATATGCACACGCGTGTGTATGTGTATGCAATATTGACCGAGCACGATCAACATTCGTTCGCTTTGTCATTCAAATAGTAACAGGCACTAATCTTTGACAGGCAGGTAGTCTTTCTCTCTCTCTCTCTTTCTCCTTCTTCGCTTATTTGTTTGTGGTCGTTGTCGTCGGTTGAATGGAACCAGTAATATAGTCGAATAGCAATTTTCTTCTTTAGCAAATAGAGCGTGCACAAACGTCTATTGAAGATTATAAAAATCTTCGACAGAAAGAGAAAAAAAAAAAAAAAAGGAACCTACATCATATGAGTAGTGAAGCTTAACACAAGGATCTTGAATACGCGAAACGGCGACGACATTTACCTATCGATTGACGAGGTCGACTACATTCACGATCCTATTGTCTTCTTTTCTATTCACATACAATAAATGACATATCATTAGAAGATACATCTATAGACAATCACCAATTAGATATCCCAAGTGTCTTGTTCACACATATGAATATAAGTGTATGTATGTGTGTGTATGTGTGCTCATCTTTATTATCAATTTTTTCTTTCACTTATTTTTTCTTTTTTTTTTTTTTTACTTTGAAAAGTTGACATGTAAACGTCATTTCTTTTAGTGTTGATTTAGGATGAAATCACCTTGCTTACTGCCATTTTCGATATATAACTTTTGCCTCGGCATTTTAAATGTATAAAAAGTAACAAAAAAAAAAAATGAAGACGAAGACGAAGAAAAAGAGGTACATTCATAAAGAAAATTTTGCGGGCGTGGATTGTATTTTCACTTTGTATTGACTTTTTTTCTTTCATTCGAACCAATGAGAATAAACTTGCCTTTTTTCTTTTAATGTCATGAGCCAAAATCGATGACTAGAGAAGTAGAAGAAAAAAAACGACACAGAGAGAGAGAGAGAGAGAAAGAGAGAGAGAAAGGAAATATATATACATAGACATATCAAACACCACCCAATGAATTGATTTTGTATGCGCACTATTCTCTGAATGGTTGTTCGACTTTTTGTCGTTCTCTTTTTTTTTCTTTTAATAAAAAGTGGCCTATCCATTTCAGATTTTGATTTCATCAATGAACGGACATCGACAAATGAATACAACAACATCAAGTAATTTAAAAGATCATTATTTTATTTTTAATAGAAATTTAATTTTTTTTTTTGTTTTTTTTTAGGTCGTATTTTAACAGATGTTCCTTGTAAAGTTTGTCATGATAATTCATCAGGCAAACATTATGGAATATTTGCATGTGATGGGTAAGTTAAAATTAAAAAATGAAAAAAAAAAAAACATTTTAGCTTGAAATTTTAATTAGTTTTTTTTTTTCTTCTTTCTCTACTAATAATTTTTATCATAATGGTATGTGATATATATTTTGTTTCGTTTTATGTTTCTTTGTGAAATCGTTGATCTAATTAAACAAAAAAAAATAATTCTCTTTGTTTTTTTTTTTAAAGATGTGCTGGATTTTTTAAACGCTCAATACGACGAAATCGTCAATATGTATGTAAAAATCATGGATTAGGAAATTGTCCAGTTGATAAAACACATCGTAATCAATGTCGAAGTTGTCGTTTAACACGTTGTATAGAAGCTGGAATGAATAAAGAAGGTATTTGTTTATTTTTAATTTTTTTTTGAATGTGTAGACAGACAAAATTGCTGCTTTAAAAGACTTTATCACAAAATTTTTCTTTTTTTTACTTATTCGACACTACTACTTCATCGTATATTTATCCACTTCAAAGTGTGTTAGTTCTTCAAATGACTAAAATGAAAAAACATACCTAAAGCAAAAATAACTTTTTAATATTTCTACTTGTTGTTCTATTTGAATAGCTGTTCAACATGAACGTGGACCAAGAAATTCAACAATACGAAGACAAATGGCTTTATTACTTAAAGAATCGAGTGATTTAATTAGTGCATATCATCATCAACAACATAGTTTTTCTCATCGTCATCATCATCATCATCCAATACCAACAACATTTCATCATCCATTATCATCATCATCATCATCATCATCAACAACAACAACAAATGGTATTGATTATAATAATATATCAACAAATTCAACATCAATTATACATCCAATACCAAAATATCCATTAGATTTACGTACAACAATTATTGAACATCAATTTGATGCACATGAATCAGCTGCAAGAATTTTATTTAATGCTATTAATTGGGCAAAAACTGTTCCAGCATTTGTATCATTATCTAATCATGATCAAGTAATGGAGAAAAACAAAAAAAAAATTAATCTTCGTTTTTCTACTTTTCTCTATTTTGTTATAGCTTTCATTACTTGAAGAAGGTTGGCGTGATTTATTTATTTTAACTGCTGCTGAACAACAATTTTCATTAAATATAACTGATCTTCTTAATAAATCAGGTACAAAAAAAAAAATTTATTTTTCTATAATAAAATTTTTTTTGTTTTGTTTTCGAATAGGTAAACATGAAAATCTTAAGTCAGATATTGAATATTTTCAAGATTTATTAATTAAATTTAAACATATGGAAATTGATTCAAATGAATTTATTTGTTTAAAAAGTCTTGTCTTATTTAAAACTGTTCTTTGTAATTGTCAAACAATGACAAATCCACAATTACAAGATTTACATAGCATTGCTTATTTACAAGATCAAGCACAAATATTATTAAATACATATATTAATAAACAATATCCATCACAACCATATCGTTTTGGTAAATTATTACATTTACTTGCTGGTTTACGTTCAATATCATCATTAACAATTGAAGAACTTTTTTTTCGTAAAACAATTGGAGATAAAACACATATGGAACAACTTGTTAAAGATATGTATCAAATAAATATGGCAACAATTGTAGCCAATTCATCATTGTCTTAGACAAGAAATTGTTTTTTTTGTTTCTTTTCTTCTTCTTCTTCTTTTTTTCTTTTCCTTCGTTCCCGGTTTTGGGTATCAATAATTCATTTTGTTTTTTTTTTGTGGGTTTATTTTTTTTTACACAGTGCTATTTACGGGCCATTTTTTTGTTTTGTTTCTCTCTCGGGCACTTTTCTTTTTATTGTCATCATCGTTTTCTCTTGTACTACTTGTTATCACGAGATGAGTTGAATAAAAGAATTTTTGTGTATACACTATATATATATATATATATATATCGCCTGCTTTTCATTCCAGAGGCTAAATGGAACAGTCATTACTCAGTTCTAATCTATGTTAAGAGAGAGAGAAAGATTTAAGACATGTTCTCTCACTCGCATCAATTTTAATTTGAGTCAAGTGTCACAAAATCGGAAATCAACGTTTTTCTCTCTCTCTCCCTCTCTCTCGATAGGGGTGGAGTTCAATGTAAAGACATCACCTTCGCTTTCACGCGCCTGTCCGATTTGACTACCATTGATAATTAGGTAGGGGTCATCTTACTTTATTTTCTAATGAAGACAAGCATAGCCTATAGTTGATGATTTATCAGATGAATGAACTCTGCTAGTATATATGTCTCGCGTCAACATGAGTCCCCACACGTGTCTATTCGATGATCGGTAATAACAACATTGAATGCGTTAAATTTTGCCATAAGCTCAATTGTCACTTGCATTTTTTTTTTGTTTTCTTGTAGGGAGAGAGAGAGAAAAAGGAGGAGATGAATTTTCAAATTCATCAAGCACAAACTTCATTTTGATTATATAATCAAACGCATTGAATTGTATTAGATTTGTTTGAAAACAACAACAACAACAACAACAATAACTTTTATTTATCAGTTAAGATATATTTTGTTTTTTGATATAAACATATTGAAGAAAACAACACTCGACATTCTGTTTTTTTTTTTTGTCCTCTGTTATACTTATCCGAGATTAAGTACTGTTAAATCTTCTTTACTTAATTAACTATTTTAAACCTCCTGATGAGTGACTAGTAGTTTTTGTAAAGATGAATATAAATACAGAAAAGTGGATGAATTTAAAGGATTAAATATAAATCAAGATCAAATTCAAATTTTTAGTTTTACAGATTTATCCGTATTATAGTTAAACAAAAAAAAAAAAAAAAAGAAAGAAAAATAACAATTATGTTTTTCTTTTTTTTTCACTAAATTGTTCATCATCATAGTTCATGTTCTATAATTACACATGAGGGTATTGTCCATTTTGTTCGTCTTTGTTCTTTTCTATACATGTACTTACATGTCTCGTCTACCTTCAATTTTGAGACTCTTTCTCTCTCGTGTGCTCAATATGTGAAATTGCCTTGAGGGTATAATAGTAGAAGAGAAAGACCAATGGCTGATCATTGATTGTTAATTGGGGACGAACGACTAATTACTGGCTAGTCTAGTATCAATTACACGGAGGAGGAGGAGAAGAAATATTCTTCTTGTTCAATTAAATATCGAAAGTATGTGTTGAAAATCTTTTTTATCAATAATAATAACAAATGCGTTAACTTTTTTTTTTCTTTGCCATAAGCTTATATTTAGAAAATTGAAATTCATCAAGCAAAAATATTCAAGAACTGACATTACATTCGATTATATAATTCAAATTTATTCATGCATATGAATACTTTTTTTTTACAAATAAATTTATTATAATTTTATAATTTTTTACGAGCTTTTACATCGCCAGTATATGCTTTAAAACGATTATCGATTTGAGTACGACGTTGTTTAACTTCTGATTCAAGTTTTCTTAACTAGAAAAAAAAAGAATTAAACAGAAAAATAAAATTATTCAATATTCTCTTACTTCACGTAGTTCAAGTTCTGCTTGACGTTTTTCTTCATATGCATTTCCTCGTACTTCACCACGACGTTTAAGTATTTTACCAGTTATTTCACGTATACGATCTTGAACTTGTCGATCACGTATACGTCTAAAAAAAACAAACAAAAGAGCCAATATAAATACATTTCACATAAACTCATATTATAAACCCGATGATGTCAACTAAGATACATATATTATTACAACTATATCCATATACTTAACTATCAAGGTTTACAATTAGCAATTCAGATGCGATAAAATCATAAAAAAAAAAACAACTTAATATTTTTCATTATGCATCATAATTTTCAATGTTATTCTGTTGTATATTAAACGATCGAATTTAGAAGAGAACTATGAGAAACTAAAGGTTATAGTTAAATATTCTATGACTTTAAGAATTATTAATCAGAACATAATATGTTTCTTTTTTTTTTTTTTTTTTTTTTGACCAGAATTCTTGATTATCAATTGTATTTACCTTTCTTCTTCTTCTCGCATAGCACTTTCAGGTGAACGATTACGTCGACTTTCATATCTGATTGCTTTTTCGATCATTTCCTGTTGATCTTTGTCCATAACAGAAATATAATGAGGATCAATACCGAATGGAGCTTGTACGACTGCTTCTTGATAGTCTATTTTGTTTGTTTTTTTTTGTTTCAAATAAAAGATATGTAAAAACAAAAAAAGAAATTTACCTTTGCCTTTAATAAGACGTTTTCGATGTAATTTTTGTTGATTAGAACGATAATTTTCTTTCCAATCATATAATAATTCTTTACTTTTAACTTTTTGTAATTCTTCATTAATTTTTATATTATGATGCTTTAAATTAAAAAAAAAGTAAATTTATTATTCTTTATATTTATAAGTATGAGAACATACTTTCATACGTATAAGTCGTTGTTCTTCACGTGCTCGAGCTGCATAAGTATCTCCCACTGGATCATTTGATATTATTTTTGTTGGTTGATTGTTTTTTTTTATTTTTCTAAACAAATAGAATATTAGAGAACAAAAAGAAAAAGAAAAATTCTTCTCCGTGTTTGATTAAATTAAGATAACAACACTTGAGAAACAAATGAAGCTCACTCACTCTCTCTCGTTCGTTATTGCAATAGCAACAAATCAACCAGTCAAACATAGTGGTACAATCAACAACAGGATACAAAAAAAAAAAAAACATGATAGAGAGAGAGAGAAAGAACGATTGAAAGTGCAAGACGTGCACAGATTTGTCGACACTAATTTGTTTTATAAAAACAATCAACATACACTCGAGGTAGTTTGATATCAGACTTAGCTCGTTGTCGACATGATGGTGAAGGATGATGGATACGCATTTCCGAATAACTCACTCTCTGATGATGTATACATGATTGAAGATGAGTAGTTAACGGATTTGCAGTAGCTGATTTATAGTAGCTCGCTTCAGATCTATATATGGAAATAAGGTCTAGATGAGCAATACACTATGCTCGAAATCATTTCACCAAAATAAAAAAATATGGTGAATGATTTTATTGTTTTTTTTTTTTTTTTGTGTTACTATCAAAATACTTAGATTTTCGAAGAAGTATCAACGATGGACGAGATAAAATGGTAGAAGGTTTAGGAGACCTTGATATTCGTCGTTGTTGATCATCATTATCATCATCTGATGATGCCCAAACATCTTGTATAATATCTGTTTGTTGTTCTTCATCATCATCATAATTTTCATCGTCAGAATCATATTTTGAATGACGAATATGTTCATTACGTAAATATTGTTGAATTGCTTTTATACCTTGTTTAACTATTTCCAATGGTGGATGAACTAATGGATTACCATCAAGATTAAGAGCTGATAAACCTTTTACTTTACCTAAATTAATATATACATATATGTGTGTGTGTGTTAGAATGAAAATTGAAATTTTGCTATTGAATATTCCCCTTAGGACATCGGGTCACGGGGTTTAAAAGGATCTTTTAGAATACGAGAACCTATTGAGAAATGAAAAAAAAAATCAAATATCCGATGTTGTAGAGCTTTTTAAGGCGTGTTGAATAGTACAAGAAATATTGTAATTCTTAGTATTTGTAAAATATTTTTTCTCACATACAATTTTATAGAGTTTTTAATGGACTACAACTTTCTATATGTATTATCTCCGGTCATCTTGTGAGTGTGTTAGTCGTGTATCAGTAAACAAGATTTTTTCTATACCATTCGACGCGCCTCAAAAAACTCTACAACATTGAATATTTGCTTTTTCATTTCTCGATAGATCCTCTTATCCAAATATCATGGTCAGAACTTTTCGTATATTCTAAGTATCTTCAATATTTACGCGATTTCTTTTTTGGTTTTATTTAGAATAAAAATTATATACGCGTTTTTGAAAAATAATGTTTAATTGTTGAAAAAATAAAAAGAACATCATATTCGCGATAAAAAAAGCGTATAGATTTTATATACTTGGAGGAATGCGAATGTCCTTGTTTTCTTCTGTCAATTCTGACGTCTACATCCAATTCTAATTTTGTCTCAAAAAAAAAAAACTCAGATTATAAATCAATTCGGACTTTGTTCGGATTCCAATTTTGACCTACAAAAAAAAACTGCCGCCTGACAAATGAATTTTTTTGGATATTTTTAAACCTTTCGTTTGAGAGTTTTTGTCAAATGTTAGAGGACAGCTGTATGTATTTAGCGGAACGGATCTATGAGTCATATGAGATTAATGGATTGAGGATGCGGATGAAATTTTCCGTACAATAAAGACCTCTGTCTGTACTAGTTGACATAAAAATTGTTAAGAACTAATGACTGAAATTTTGTGAAACAGCAGGACTAGTAAAGCAATTCTTGAGAAATAAATTAGGGTGGTACGGTCTTCAAACCTCGAAGAACGTTACACGAAGACTGGCATAGAGTTTGTATACATACTCTAAATTGTTTTATCCATCAGAAAAAAGGCAGGAGTTTTTAATTTTATTTATTTAAAAAGAGCGTATATCATTTATTCAGGTCTCCCTTTGATCTTGGGCCAGGTACATTCAAATCACACGAAATTTTCAGGATATGTTTTAACTGTAGTGGAGAAACTATGGTAAAAATTCCAATCCAATGAACAATATTCATATATTAGAAACGGTATATCAGACTAAAGTTTCTTTTTTAAAATTCTTACTTTTTATACGGAGAGAAAGGATCATCCATTTATAGAAGTGCTTTTTTATATAATAAAAATAGCTTACAGAGGGGGGAGGGCGCACCTCAGAAACTGACTTTATTATTTTTCGTCCGATTTTAACCAAATTTTTTGGAGAATATTAGTCTAGGCTATGGTAGATCATAGGTGAATTATCTTCCACAAACCTCCAATATACCAACGAGTTATAATCAGTTCATTGATCCAAAGTGCTCTGTACGCGGGCAAGGTTTTTGCAATCAGTATACGAGCTAACATGCCGGAGCGATGTTTAAGTTGTAGAGCACTCTTAGGGTTAGATCCTCACAGAGTCCGATTTTTGAAATTTCCTTTGTTTGTTTTTTAAAAAGTCTTTTTCGAAAAATTCTCGAATTCATGGCCAAAAAAGCTGCTGATCAAAATGAAATATGTAAGTTTTTTATTTCATCAAAAGAGAAATTCAAAAATCGGGCTCTGTGAGGATCTAGCCCTAACTGTCCTCTATATAATAAAAGAAAAAAAATTATCACTTCTCTATTGAGTCGTCATTAAGAAAACCTTGTCCGCGTAAACGGTGCTGTCGAAAAAATTAATTTTGAGAAAAACACTAAATAAATTTTAGAAATTGATTTTTGTGAAACACACGTAAATTATATATCAATACTCAGAACAGGCTATAGATCTTTGATCTTTATCTTAAGTATTAATAGCCTCGTAGTTGGACCTAAGTTTTAGACGGTAAGTCCATCAAAATCTGTTCATTTTGCAAAAAACCATAGATATGGTGAAAGAGGAGACTTCGGTACGTCTTCCTATGATAAAAACTCGACTTTGACCTTTCTTCAAAAAATGGGTTCCGCCATATATTGCAGCTTCTAATGTTCTTTTAAACAGAAAAATATACAATTGGCTACTAAGAAGTTCGTTCGAGAATTTGGAAAAAGTTCTGGACAAAAGTATATCTTTTCAAATATTGTCAAAAAAAAAATCATAGCAATTATGAAAGATTACATCTCGGACGATGCTCTCCTATGCATTTATCTCAATTTCGATGAAAGTTGACTTTTTTTTTTTTGTTTTCAACGAGAGGATGGTTCAGTGTTAGATAATGAATTAAAAAACAAAAAAAAAATCATAGAAAATAAATTTTACCAAGTTGAACAGGTAATGTTCGAATTAAATTTCCACTTAATAATAAATATCGTAATGAATGATTTTTATCGAGACCAAGACTCGGAATTTGAGTGATTTTATTATTACGTAGATCGATCCATTTTAAATTTGGTAATCGAAGAAATAAATCATCTGGTAATTGTGTTATTTCATTACCTTCTAAATATAAATACTAAAAAGAAAAAAGATAATGAAAGTTTCTTGTTTTTATTGAGATTGAATTTATAAGAAAGTATTTACTTGCAATGAAGGAAATTCTAATAATGTTTGAGGAAATTCAATAATATTTTTTTTTGAAAGATCAAGACAATTATAATTTTGTTCTTTAGCTTTTATTATAAATTGAGTAAGATCATCTTCTTTTTTATTTTCATTAATATGAAGAATTTCATTAACTTGATCATGAACATCTGATGAAATATCATCATTTTGAATTTCTTTTTCTTGTAAATCTAATTCAGGTGATGAAGATAATGATAATTCAGATAAATTATCATTAATATCATTATTTGATGATTTACTATTTTCTTCTTCATTTTCGGATAGATCTGGTTGACATTCATTATCATTCGTCATGTTCAAGTTAACATTTATAACAATTTTTATTATGTAAATACTTCTGAAGTATGAGTGCCTTTCTTTTTTTTTCTTTTATTTATACCATATTTTTTTATTATGTTAGTCAATTGCAACCTAGCAACAGCAGCTATATACAACATAAAATCTAACGCCATCTTCCACAAAAACTTGGATATTGTTAATGCATGTAATTCATTTTTTGATCATGCTATTCGACTAATATTTAATTACATCAAATGACAATGTTCAGCATGTTTGTTTTTTTTTTGAAATCTTTCTAAATAAATATATAATATGTATTAACAATCTTTTTCAAATAAAAGTAATGCTAGACATAATAATGATTCTTGTAAGTCAAGCAAACAACAAAACAATTGAATTCTTTCTCGCTATAAGCTATTTTTGCTAAAGTGTTTGGTGATGTATAGAGTATAGCGTTAAAAGCTTCGAGAAGTACTCACGATCAATTCAAGGAAATTACAGGAACAAAAATTTTCATTTGATTATTCGTGCTTCGTCACGTCGCTAACGAAGAGTAAATTGAATTCTTTTGAAAAGTTTAGGAATGCTGAGAAAAAAAAAACTTCAGATGGAAATCTTGTAGCCTTAGGAATTGTTTAAAACTAAAATGTATGAAGTGAAAGTTGATATCCTTTTTTTGTATCATGTCTTTACACTAGATTTTTACTGATAAATTCATGTGAATAAAGATCTGTAGGACCGACTTTTTCAGTGAATCTAGACTAATTCAATATACATATAACATATAAAAATCAGCTATATGAAAGTTCATTATGTCGAGATATTTGTCAAGTCATATTGCTAACAAATGATTTTGCTTATATAAGTCAATGAATTATACTTTAAGACTACAAAGCAATCCAATGAATGAAGGGTATGTCTGTGATTGTGAATTTGACTAATTGTTACGTCAGAAAATGTTCGAAGCCGACAGACTCTTATGAGGAAATTGTCACTTATCGTTTGAGCTCATATCAGACTTACAGGCAGACTAGCAAAAACGCAAAAGAATTCGTATCCATGGGCCTTTGACGTCTCATTATAGCCAATTTCTTGAATTTTCGACTCATTTGTAGGTAGCTTCCTAAAAATCAAATAACGGAGTTTCGATCTAAAATTCTGACTATAGATAGATCTAATGACTCTTAGAATATCCTGAAAGTTTCAGTTGAAAAGAATGTTCTTTTTTTCAAGATATTGAAATTTCAAAAATAGTCCTTTGTCACCAAAAAATCGAGCTTACCGGGCAATTCAATAACTTAACGAAGGACCATTCTTTTCGACTGAAACTTGTAAGATACTGCACGGCTATTTCCTCCTTTAACGTATGACCTTAGATGTTTAACCTTTCATCCGGTAACAGACATACAGAAATCCGGTATTATGTATACAGATAGATAGCCCTACGGCTTCATACTCTTATATCGCACATATTTCTATAGTCCAGGTAGCCTTCGACCTTATATCCCTTGTAGCTCTTCTAGCTTTATCTTCTTTTTGCTTTACCCCTTATTAGCTATCCTCTTACTGCCTTACTCCCTTGAGGGCCTAAGAGTATCCTAATACAGTAGCCCTTGGGTCCTCCGCTTATAGCCTTATTTGACCTTGAATCTTGGACCCGGCACAGACAGATACTAAGCATTATATATATATAGATTCTAAGAGTCAATATACGTATCTATGATCAAAAATTTTGGATTGAAACTCCGTCATTTGGTTTTTTGAGACATACCCAAGTTGGGTCGATAGTCATAAATTGACGCCAAAGACCCATGGGGACGAATCTTTTTATACTTTTACTAGTCCCACTGACACCTGTCTGTAGATCCAATATAATCTCCAACAGCAGGTGTCAGTTGAGATAGTTTCGTCGTTAATGTGGATCTATTTCATCGAACAAAAGTATTTAAACATTTATCTCTAATAAGAATTTGTCTATATTAATGTTAATAAGAAGAAGGAAATTTTTTTTATTATGAAGAATAATCACGAGTAATTCATCAAACATAAATATGATTATAGAAAAGAGTTCATACAAATCAAAAACAAAATAGACTTAAATAATAATTTTGTCTATTCGCGCCTGATTGATATTCATTATTTTTTATTTTAAATAAACGAAATAATCTAATGTCATCATCATCATCATCAGATTTTACTAAACTACATTTGAATAAATCTCTTAAATCTCGTCATAATTCAACATTTTATCAAGATTTATTAAAAGCTCAAATAACATCAGATCATGAAGAAAATCAATTATTAGCAAATAAAAAAACTCATTTAAAAATAAATCAATTTCAACAGTCTCCATCTGCACGAAATAATATTATTCCTTTATCAAATAATACATCAATAATAGATCATAAATTGAATACAATTGAAAATAAAACTTTTAATCAAAATCATAATAATGAAAATGTAATCAAACCATTATTCAATTATCTACATCGACCACTTCCTAAACATTTACGATCTCGTGAATTAAATACAAAAGAATGGTTTTATACAGAAAGTAATAATATTTTATTTGATTAATAGAAATGAAGAAAAAATAAAAATTCATTGTCCAATTGTTAACTTCATTATTAACAATTTATTCTTCGTTTTTTGTATTCATATTTATTTGATTAGATGAATTCTGTGGTATAACAGTTGTTAAAATTCGTGATAATGGTTCATTGAAATCCATATGATGATATGATAAATTATCAAATCTAATTAGAAATATTAAACTCAAAATAAACAAAGAAAAAATAAAATTTTCTACTTATGAAATGCTGTTGCTGTTGTATACGCATAATCAGATTCATCATGATGAGATACAGGATCAATCTTAGTCCAATGTGATTTTCCCGTATAAAATGGAATATTTGTTTTACTAAAACAGAATATATTTAATACTTTGCCAACGTCGTACGCCAAAGCTATCTATTCTCTAGAACTTCTTAGTTATTTCAAATCTACTAGCAACGTATGTCACGAGTATATTAGTTTGAATTCATTTTATATAAGTCTGTCTTCTTCCTTGAATCTTATGAAGTTTGATGATTTTTCACGAAGTTCGCTGGCTTTCTTGATATATGCTCTTTATGAAAAAAATCTTTAACTTACAAAGGATTCAACGTAAATTTCGGTTGTTCAGTACGAAGTATTGTATAAGGTTGAAAATCAACTTCTGGATTATCAATATCATGTATATTATAACCACCAATTGAACCTGAATAACCTGATATTTGTTGTGCACGTGATAATGGTGCAATATTAAGAAAAGGTTTTTGATTATAATGAATATTTCGTGATTGTAGACGATCCCATTGAAGAATATTACATGTACGTTTATCATCAAGTGATAAATGACTTTTTGATTTCAATAATGGATCGCTACCATTAATTTCATAAGTTGTTAATGGTACTGGTAATTTCGATGGTAATTTTGAATCTAAGAATTTGTTTTTTTTTGTATTTGAAGAAAAAAAGATTAAAAATAAATAATGATTGATTTTTTTTGATCTTACCCCATGGTATTTCATCAAAAGCAGCTTGTTGCATGGATGTATATATAAAATGATTAGCAAGTTCATTACGATTTAATCGATTTGTTTTTAATCCTTGTTGTTGTTTTCGATTATATGTAAGATTAGATTGAAGTGATTGATTTCGAAGACAATCTTCTTTAGAATTTAGTGTATCTAGAAAGAAGAGAGTTTTGAAAGAATATTATAGAGAAATAATTACCATCGAAACTTAATCGATTACGAATTGTTTGATCTAAGACTAATCGATCGCTAAAACGAGGTACAATTTCGTTATCAAGACCTTGTTCATGTCTGAAAGCAAAAAAAAACGCTCTGTATATTGATTCAAAGTCTGTTTTTTAAAGATTTTATATCATACCGAAGTAAAGGAATAGCTGCTGAATGATTACGTACTGTTGTAATTTGACTTGGTATAATTTGTTGAGGATCAAGACGAGTTTTTCCAAATGAAAGTTTTGCTAATGCTTTATTTGACACATCCAATGGTCGATGATAAATAATTCTAGGTGGTTGAATAGAACTTTCATCTATTTGTTTACGTACAATACTTTCAAAATATCCTTGTCTTTCATAGTCTACAGTTGAATTATCCAAATGAAGATGCGTATTAACATTAGGTTTACGTTGTAAACGATAGAGACGTTTAACTTGATGTTTATCAACAACTGTTGGTCCATGACTTTCATTCGATGTCAAGAATGTTTCAAAATTTGGTCGTGTTAATTTAGTTGAATTTTCAAGACAATAAGTTTGTGAAGCAACAACTTGTGACATTATCAATTGAATAACTAATAGATTAAAACTATTGCCATTTATATATTATGATACTTAGCAACAATTCTTCTATTTGATTTTCCAAGTTTTTGTTTCTTTTTTATTTTCTTACACGTCGCTAGTAAATGATTTATTTTGAGAGACATCTGTTGGGAAAATTTATTATCAAAGAAAAATGAATATTTGATTGAAAAAGTTTTAGTTCAAATCTAGTTCTCTATTAAATGAATCTAGGCAAAGATCGAAGACAACCTATGAGAAATTTCACTTGCTGTTAAGTATAGATACTGCTAGGCGTGCAGTTCTATGTATCTTGATTAATGTTATCGATTGAAAGACAAATATAAAAAAAAAAAGGTTTTTGGTGTCAATGGTGATTATCCGTGCAGATTCTTTTTTTCAATATTTTCTATTCCAGAAAATTTTTAAACGGTAACGTATAGAAGCATGAACAATATTTTTCTGTTCTTTCGAAAAATAAACGGTGTTAATGTCTAGTTTAATAATTCCGTCTAGTAGAACTTATGATTTGAATTATGGAAATATTTAATCCACACATAAAAGCAACAGTTTTTATTATTCAAAACAATTCCCTATACAAAAAAAAAAGAAAAAGAAAAAAACAACAACAACGACTAGTCAACACGCACACTTGATTATACAATAATTATACAATACTAGCTCGTGTCTGACAATTCGATGTGACATTATACCATCCACTATTACTAATTGATGATGATGATGATGGTGATATTTTATGTTTTTTTTCATCATTTGTTATTGATGATTTTGTGAGCATTTTATCAAGTAAAATAATTCCATTAAGTAATGGTGGTGGTTGTGGTTGTTGTAATTTTGTTTGAATATCTTTTGTTGTTTGATTAAGAATTGTTTGTAATGTTGGAAAATTATTTGATTGATTTTGTGGTAAATTTGTTAGAATAGGTAAATTTTGATTTATATTTGTTATTGATATATCATGTTTTATTTGTTTAGGTAATGTACTAAATGTTGATGATGTATTTTGAAAAAGATCATTAAAAACATTATTTGTTGGATTAATTGATGTTGTTTGAAAACTAACATTTTTTGTTTGTTGACGTCGTGTTGATTTTCGTGTAAGAGTTGTAAGTGCTGATACAGTTGACGAAGGAAGATTTTGATGATTATTATTATTACTGTGTGAACGATCAAGATCTGATGTTGATGATGATGATGTACCATTAAATGGAGAAGAAAGAAGTGATGAAGAAAATTCAGCATCCATTATTGATGGACTATTACCAGATGGAATTTGTGAATTCTAAAATAAAGAATTTTTATTTTTTAATTTCAATAATTCTTCTTCTTTTTATTTTATATTAGCTTAAAAAAAAAAAGAAGCCACCATATTTCTCTAATCGAAAAAGAGAAGGTCATTAGCAGCCACATGGCCATTCAAAATGATACGTATGCGCTCAGTTGAGCAAGAAAAAACAATCATCATCACTCGATTGATCCTATGTAAACGTATCGTAGTAAAGGTCAAAAATAGTAGTGTTGATATATATACTCCAAAAAATAAAATGAATGACACATTCAAGATATAAACACATTAGTATAACGTACTTTTCTTTGTTTAGTAATAATATTATAATCATTATTATGAATTGATGGTAAAATAACGGTTGTTGATTTTGTTTGTGGACTATTTTGTTTTGATTTATCTTCATCATTAACAATTAATCTACTACCATATAATTTTTTTTCAACATTTTTTCTTATACATAAATAATAAATAATAAAAATAATAATAAAACTTATTATAAAAAATATTAAAATAATTGTAATTAACATTGAAAATTTTTTAAATGTTTTATTTATATTATTAAATAAATTTAATCTTAATAAATTTCTTTTATTAATAATAATAATATTTAAAATTTTTTTTATTTCAAATTCATAATTTTTTATTTGAAATTCAATTTCATATATACCAGGTAATATAGATGAATTTTTTAACCATAATGAATTATTTAAACCAATATAAAAAAATTCATTATTATTTAATATTGTTAAATTAAATAAAGAATTTTTATCAAGATCATCATCTTGTATAATAATATCAGTTATAAATTGTGCTAATGGATTATTTATATCAATATATTTTGAATGATCATCAGAAAGTATATGTTGAATTTCATTTGATTCTGGCCATATAAATACAGGAGGATTATCATTGATATCCCTATGTACAAAACAAAAAAAGAAAAATTCTAAAAAAAAAAAGAAAATTCTTTTTCATACAAAATTTTAATTGTTACAATTGTTGATCCAAATGTTGAATTATCTGTTGCAATAATTGTTAATTTATATTCATCTTGTAATTCTCTATCAAATATAAATTTTGTTGAAATTTTACCATCATAATCAATAAAAAATAAATCTTCATAATTTCCTAATGTATAACTAATTATATCTTTATAATCTTGATCATATGCTTTAACTTGTCCAATATATTTAATTGTTCGATTTTCATATATTGAAAATTCATAATTATCTTTTTCAAATTTAGGTGAATATTCATTTATATTTATTATATTTATTTGTATATTAACATATGATTCAAGTGATGGTTCTCCATGATCACGTGCACATACTTGAAATTTATATATACGTTTTATTTCATAATCAAATGTTGTATTTGTTGATATAATACCATCATTTGATGTTATAAAAAAATATAATGATTTTGGATTTATTGTATATGTTATTTGTCCATTTATACCTTGATCATAATCATATGCATGAATTTGACCAATTATTGTTGGTATACGATTATTTTCAATTAAATCAAATGTATAATTTGTTTTAAATTGTGGTATTTGATCATTTATATCAGTTATATTTAATTCAAATGTCATTGAACGACGTAAACTTGGTTGACCAAAATCACGTGCACGTAATTCAATTTTATAATATGATATTGTTTCACGATCAAATTTATGTAAAGATTTAATAGCATAATAATTTAAACGTATTATTTCAACATAAAATAAATGATGAGGTTCAATTGTTAATTGAGCCTAAAAATAATTAATCGATATGAAAATTTATAAAATAAATTATGTAGATAATATTCAAACAGTATTGTATCTTGTGTATATGATTCTTATACTACGTGTTTGTCCTCTCGGAGTTAGTATTTCTTTTCAATCATATAAATATGACGTCAAAATTAACAAT